AGTCTTTTCCAGTGAAGCGCAGTGAAAGTACGAAAACTTGTCAAGTTCAAACAGTCTTCTATTGAGTTTTACTCTCCTCATTACATAGAAAAACGTCGTAACGGCGGACGAGGTAAAATAGAAAGGAAGAGAGAGGATCCTGAGATCGAAGCTGTTAGGAAATGGCAGACTTGGTAATCCCAAATGAAATAATAAAAGAAATAAGCCTCGTAAATACGTGCAGACTTAATGTGTCGCAAATCTGTCTGGCTTTTTAGGGGTATGTAACCTGTGCAACTTGGCTAAACTCAAATCAAGTGTCACTCTTTATGGTAACGCTAGAGGGTAAAAAACGCTCGCTGAACATGAAGTCGGGCTAGCAACAATTCTAGGGATTTTTAATACGGTGAACGAATCAGATCATATTAGAGACTAAATGAACGCGTGCCTGAAACTTCACCACGCAGACAAGAAAACAAAATACAAGATATGTTTGATCTCTGAATATTATGTCACGAACAATTAATTACGCGACCCACCATCTGAAAAAGAAACACTTCTCACCCGGTTTCAAATGCAAATAAAGGTTAAAAAAAAAGTGACGTTAATCGTGCAAATATCTTTTGCAGAAAAAAATTAAAGCAGAAGAGAGTATGACCTTCCGAAACATCTTTTCTTCAATGGCCGACTTTCGTGATGTAGTATCGGTGCTGCCAGCAGCCCGACTAATAAAGGCAAGTAGAATCTTTGTGGGTGTGCAAAAAGCTAACCGACCGTGAGAAATCAAGGAGTCTTTCCTGGCTTTTTGATTATCATCGTAGTAGGGCCCGCAACATTAAAGAAGCGGCTGCTTGTGAATTGAATGGCGCCACAAAAGGACGCAATTTTCAGTTTAATTTATATCTTTAAGTCATTCTGCATACATAATTATTTATTTTTTTGCAAGCCATGCCACATACCATTCCGCAAACTCATTCCTCCTTTTACCGTCACCGCTTAAAAAGATAAGATTTAACTAAACGTTTAAATTGATTAAGACAACCGCAGCACCTTTCATTCTGGGGTAATTCGTTCCACAGAGCAGGGGCTGCGGATGAGACAGCTCTGTAACCATACGTTTTTAGATTATAGGACATACTGATGAGATGATTGGTATTAGAAGATCTAAGGTTCCTACTCGGTACGTACAGCTTAACTAATTCAGAGAGACAAGTTGGAGCAAGATTATTCAGCGCCTTATAACTTATTAATAATATCTTTAAAAAAAAACCCGTTGTTCAACTGGTAACCAGTGGAGCCCTCCTAAAATATGGGTGATGTGTTGTCTTTTGCTTGTTAACTTGACAGCCCTTGCTGCTGCATTCTGAACTGCCTTTTGAGAATTCCGAGGTATTCCATTTAAAAGGGAACTGCAAAAGTCTAATCTTGATGTTACAAAAGCATGCTATTTAGGTTTTTCCATTTTCTCAAGAAATTAATTACATTGTAGCTGATGCAATTTAGTGGTAGTCAGCCTATTCCTTGCATAGAAGGGATCTAAGTGGCACATTTTAGCCTTATGGGTTCTAAAAACAAAGTTTTAATTTCGGGTTTTTACTGCAACTCGTTTTGGAAACACAAATCTCATGATTTAACAATTATTGAATTCGGCTTTCGTATCATCTGAAGAATTATGGAGATCGAGGAGGGTGTTATCTGCCACAGGCCTTGGCGGATAACACCCTCCGAAATCTCCATAATTCTTCAGATGATACGAAAGCCGAACTCAATAATTGTTTTATTATTCATTCACAATAATTCCTAAATAAAAAACAAGCTAAAACATGGTTACCTCCATCGATAGTGCATGTTAATCAGCACGTTTAGGAGAAAAAGGGTTGTTTAGCCCCGAAAATATTCTCTACTAGCAGATGTCGTCCGTCGAGTTGTCTTCTTGCTGTTCTTGCTACGTTTTTAGCCAACAGTTCGCCTATTTCCTGCTCGTGAAACGAGTGAAATGTTCGGTTATTTTTGTACTCACTACGAAAACAAATAAACCTCGTCCCCAGGTCTTCTTCTTCTGCACGATTGACGTCATCAGTTCAATATCGCAAAATTCTTCCAAATTTGGTGAACAGTGGCTGGTTATGATGAATTATGCGTGTGATTTTAGCCAATCAGAAATATTTTGAATGAATAATAAACCTCATTATCCAACTGCTAAGACCGTTTTCTTAATAGTTAATTTCTTTCTTTTCTTTTTTCCCCCCTTGATTTTTCCTTCAGAATAATAAGTCTAACCATTCCACGAGTGAAAGCACAGTATCTTACCCGGTTAAGAAACACATCTTCGCCCTTAGAGTCGAACGATTCGAGAACGATAACGACGATAGGCCGTTCCAAACCACCATACTCCCTCACGGTGCTGAGAACAATATTGTCATCATCATTTCTTTCAGCATTCACGGTTAAAGTAAACTCTTGCAACTGTTTAAGTTCATTGCCTTCTAGGGGTTCATGTAAACACAAAACAGCGATATCGCCTTTACTGTACCCTTCTTTCAGCAGCGACTCAAGTACTCCAATCAAACAAGCAATTCGTTCTCCTTTTGAATACTCTTCCTCACTTTGTTCTCCGTCGAAATCGTGGCCTATTGTCACTGATTTATTGTCCATTCTTCGTTCTAGTCTTTCGAGTCTGGTTATATACCGTGGAAAAGTCGGAAAAATATGCGTAAGCATATTCTCCCGCCTGTATTGAGCCGTTCGAGGCCAAGTTCGCCTATCAAGGAAATTTTCGGCGAGTTGGAAGATCCTTTTGGAGTTCCTTATCACTTTCCTTAGAAAAAACGTCTGGCGAAGACGTTGTGGTATGCCTGTTTCAGACTTCTTTGAAATGCCTTGTCCTCTGTCCATGAAACACCACAGATAGCCTGGGCCATCACTTTGCCAAATGCTGTACTCTGGATCCGGTCCAGCGACAGAGTTTGTATCAGAGTTGTCCTGTTCAGTTTCGGATTCGCTGCAAGACTCCGACACTTTTTCATTGTCAGAGGCGTAGTCATCATCACTGGATTCACGTTCAAGATGTTGTTTGACGAGCGTTCTAGCTTTTCCAAGCCAATCTCCATCTTTAGCTTGAAAATTATGTACCTCGTCCAGGATTACGTGCCTGATTTGAGGAAACCTCTCCTCCATAAAGGCTTTTCGGGTACGGCACTCGCATATGTTAAGTTTCCTATAAATAGCGAGAAAGAACAGGCCCATTGTATTGAGAAAATTGTTATAATGTAGTTCCTTACGGGCAACAACACTAAGCTAGACTTGTCGCAGTCGAAGCATGCGGCTCAGTACTGTGCAACCCTGGCGGTAACTAAAAAACCTCGACCTCCCGCGTTAACTCGTACTAAATTCTGTTTGCCTTGATCAAAAGTTACCCCAACAACTCGAGTTATCACAGTTCTTGCAACTCACCACGGATGACGTCCCGTTGGTTTTTCTTGCGGTGTAATCCGCGGTAAAAACACTTAAACTTACACTACAGCACTTTGATGTTAATTAGTGCAACGAACGGATCACGTTTTTGACAGTCACATTCCTGCATCATCGTAAGTAAGTATAATCAGTGGATTAAAGAAGTGGATTCTGGTTTATTTTTTCATTTAGAAATAGAAGAAAAATCAATCAGTGAAAATAAAACAAATTTACGGTAACACTGGGTTATCTAGCAGCAAAGAGCTGTAAATTCTTACATTAATTCTTCTTGCAATTTTACGGCCGCCATTTTGAATCAGCAGCCATGAATGGCACTTGTTTTCAAGATCCAATAGGATTTATCAAATTTAGCGTTTCGCCCGAATTTGTGCCTCTGTTAATGGATAAAGACTTGCTCCTCAAGATTTTTGTATCATTACGTGGCATAAAACAACAATTATACGCTAAAAGCTTGCAGGTAAATGGCATACGTGAAAACCTATCTCCCCACGTTGAAAACGCACGTCGTAAACCTCAAACGTGACGCGAAAGACTTGTCACGTGACCTCCAGCGGTTAGAGGTTCGCGGTAAACTCGGATCTAAAACTCTCTATTAACTCTTACAGTACTTGTACTGATTAAGAAGACTTTTAGAAGGGCCTTCTAAAAAAAGAAGAAGGGCTCAGATCGTATACAAGCACGACTGGTAACAACTTACATGTCTCGCATTATATTTAGTCTCGCTTGCGTAAGCAGTGAGACTCGTAATCTGCAAGCCGTTTTTTGAGCTATTATGATGATTTTTGCAGCGGCCAATAAGGTTGAGGTTACTATGAGTTGATGCTTAGGAACCAATGAGATTTTGGCATCTAAATGAACATGACATTGCTAAAGGTCAAACTAGGGCATTTTGAGACCGCCATGTTGATTCTTCACAATTTGTTCGTCTTTTATTACAGCAGCAAACGTTGTGTATTTTGTACAGTGATGCAGCTGTTTAATGGTTCATATTTTAGTGTGGGTGTGGGTGCTGCCTTAAGCCATTTCTGACATAATTCGCCTATCGCGAATTTCATAGTTTATGAGTTCTGTTTCACCTGCTTCAAGGTAGGGTACTAGGAGTAATGGGAGCTTAGGAGAGTGCGTTCGATATGTTTTTTAGGCCTACAGGTAGCAGTTGAGGGGGAAGGGTGGTTGCGATGTAGATAAATATGATTATGGCATATTTTGAACGTCAGGGTTGCGTACAGCGAAACCTCTAGTTAAACTGTTTATCATTATAAGGTTTTGATGAAAAGCTGGTCAATTATACAGCCTTCAATGATGCCATCCAAAGCTTCATGTCCAACATCAAATGTGAATCAAGCTTATCTAAAATCACTTCTGCAGATTTGTCAAAGCTTTTCTTTAATGCTGGAAAACAAAAGATGATTTTAGATCAAAGTACAAGAGTAATTTCCCAGTTTTTGCCATCCACCTCAGCTTAACTGATGTCATTAGACCATTTGGCTCGATTCATGTTATTCTTATGTTATATTCAAGTTAATATCACAACTTATATTAATGCAATATTTGATCAGAAGTTTAAAGACAATTGTTTTATCTTTCCAAGTTCAAGTTTTGTTAGTGCTAATAGAAATATCGACGACGACACAGTTACGTCTGAACTGCAATAACACTCATCAACGATATGTTACAGCTGTATACTCAAGTTAATATCAAAATTTATTCAAAGTTAATATCAGAATATTAATATTAATGAAATATTTGATCGGAATCTTTCCATGTTGAAGTTTTGTAAATAATCTAAATAAATTGTTCTTGTTCTTCCTGTTACCATTGTTTCTTAATTATTATCAAGATAACATCAAATGTAATAAAAGTCATTTCAAGAAACCACGAGACATTGCTTTTTTCCCATCAGTGCTTTAGCGCGTGCAAAGATGGCGTGTATCGTGAAAGTTTATTCACTACACCTGTTCATTTCCCCCTCTACATTTTTCGCATTTTTTTACTGCAATATATTCTACAAAACTAGACCAGTAGGCACATGCAGTCACAGACTGCCTTTTATTTATAAACAGCTTCAAGCATCGTGACCTGATTTATTTCGACACATTGAAATATTCATCGCAAGTATTAGAAGTTAGCAGTTCAAACTCCAAAGAACAATTCTTAAAAGCAAGTGAGTAGTATAGGAGGGACCGGTTACTCCGGTTTTTTGGGGAGGATTCTCATTAAGGTGGGGAGGAATACATTAACGCCGATGACGTCATAGGCTATTGTCTTGATCTCATGAATAAAATGCGCAGGAATCTCATAAAGATAAGGTCATGTGCTATTTTTATTTTGTGGCGGTCATGGTTGGTATAACCGGTTTGACAGGTTAGTTATTTTTGGAAGATGATGTCATATATATTCCGGGGTACTATGATGTCATAGTTGTTTTGATTGGTTGACCGGAATTAGAAAGACGCTCATTGGCTGTCTCGTTTGACGAAGCATTCTGGTTGGTTGCCGTATTTTTATTGTTTGAACGGCATAAAAGCCTGCTCACTGCCTTCCCGCATACTAATTTGGATTTCCTGCATACTAATTAAGTGTCGCCCCGCATACTAATTCGGTATAGGTTTACTAATGAGTGTTTCTCTACTACAATAGGAACAATAGGCTTGCCTAGACTTGCCCGGTAAGTAACTTAATTAAAAGGAAAATAAGAGCGATCACCGAGCAACGCCAGAAACAGCTTCCTATTTCTTATTTAGCGCTAAAACTCGGATATATATAAACAAGACATACACAAAGGGGAGCTGAAAACGCTTTATTTCAAGTTTGTCTGACTATTACAGAACTGTTTTCTCCTTTCTATCTCGAGGAAATGAAAAACTATTGAAGTCTCAACGTTTCACGCGTCATTAGTTAGGTAATTATGCGAGTTCACAAGCCCAAAGTTGAATACAAATTAGCTCTACAGGAAAAACCTCAAGGGACCATATTGACGTATTATTATAAAACAAATAACTTAACAAGGATCAATTGATTAAACACGCGACTCATAATTGCTAGCAATAAAAACAAAAGAGAGATACCGTATTAAAAAACTTTATTAAAAACAAAAAGAGTCAAATACACAGGAATGGAAATTAATTAATCTTCATCTTCGCCCATGGAGTACTTGTAAGGCTTGAATTTCTTATGCCGACGTTTCTTCAGCTGTTTGCCATGAGATTTATGATCATCCAAATAATTTACAAATTGAATCCGACGCCTTTTGCGCTTCGGTCCTTGTTGTGATGGGGTTTCTACTGTGGGAGGAGGGGTCAGGAAAGCAGGATTTAAGGGTGGTGGAGGGGTGAGGCTTTCTTTGTCAGGTTTTTGAGAGATAGCCGCTTGTGTTAATTCAGGTGTTACATTAAAGGGGTTGAGGGGAGTCGAGAATGCTGTCGTTGCTGTCGAAGAATCTTGTGTCCTTGATGTTAAGTCTGGAACAGTACTGATTGTTTCTTCCGGTCGTGTTCTTGTATTTAATTGTTCTTTAAAAGCCAGGTATCTGTTTTGCAACTGAACGTATCGCTTAGCTTTTTGATCGTCCCGAAGATCGTTTCGAGAAAGCACGTCATCCATGTTGCCCTGTATTTCTTGCATAGCTGGGAGAAGTGGGACAGGCGAAAGAGTTTGCTGCTTCAGATATTTTAGGAGCTCTTGAGGAATATTTTCTTGAAACCCTGCTTGGTGAAAGCCTTCTTCACTGGGCAGGACGTTTGTTTGCAACCGACAATTATCTTGGGTAGTAGTTTTCAGATCAATCAGAAGATAACCAAAAGGTCTTTTTACAGCCTCTTCGTACTTATTTAAAAAGAAATCAGTCTGCCCAGGATACATTTGCTTCGCCAGAGTCAAGATTTGTAATTTGTCTCGTGGATTCTTGAATAACACCAGATAATGGCTGTTTAGGCTTATGCTGCGACTACCTTTCCCCTGATGAAATAGATTCTGCACGATATAAATCACGCTCAGATTGCGATGATGAGAACCACGAGTAAAAAGGTTCACAATTCGCTTGTCCTTACTGGCGTCAATCATCTGATCATCAAACACGATCAAATTCCGTTTGTTCACATCAAAATAGGAATCTTGCTCCAAAGCCGTAGGAATTCCCTTGACGAATTCAATGTTTGGCATGGCGACTAACATTTGTGTATACGCTGGCTGCCATTGTGAATAACACCAAACGATCCTCTCCGGGGGAGGGTAAATTGTCTCTGAAGCTTGTTGCAATAGCGATCGAACCCCGGCCGTTTTTCCGGAACCGGTCATTCCGGCAATCATTGAGGTGAAAGGGTGCTCGAAGCGAAACCGCTGACATTTCTGTGAAAATATTGGAACTGTTTGAAATGGGGTGAGACCAGCATTGCGGTGTTTAGACATCACGTGCCTTTGCATACTATCTTTTCTACTAAAGGATTTTTCGCAGACAGAACAGAACCAACTCATGTCAACTCCTCAGGAGCAAAATGTACACTGAGAAGGAGGTAGAATGTTACGCATTTATATAGTTTTTCAGACCACAAGATTCTATTGTTTTCCTCACCCAAGACCACCACTACCACCACCACCACATTTCTATTGTTTTCTTTCCTCCACCACCGCCACCACATTTCTATTGTTTTCCCTCCACCACCACCACCACCACCACATTTCTATTGTTTTCCCTCCACCACCACCACCACCGCCACCACATTTCTATTGTTTTCCCACCACCACCACCACCACCACCACATTTCTATTGTTTTCCCTCCACCACCACCACCACCACCACCGCCACCACATTTCTATTGTTTTTCCTCCACCACCACCACCACCACCACCACCACATTTCTATTGTTTTCCCTCCACCACCACCACCACCACCACCACCACATTTCTATTATTTTCCCTCCACCACCACCACCACCACCACATTTCTATTGTTTTCCCACCACCACCACCACCACCACCGCCACCACATTTCTATTGTTTTCCCTCCACCACCACCACATTTCTATTGTTTTCCCTCCACCACCACCACCACCACATTTCTATTATTTTCCCTCCACCACCACCACCACCACCACCACCACCACCGCCACCACATTTCTATTGTTTTTCCTTCCACCAGATTCTATAAAAGACCACCAAATGCCATTCTTAGTTCATTGTGTAGCAATGTCTCGTGTAGTGAACAACAATCGTGGTTTTCTTCAGCTGTTAGCTGATTGCCCTGCTTATCAGCGCCAGTTTCTTTTACGGACAGCTACTCCACAACAACTACATGCACTAGTCCAAGTCTTATACAATATACTTAAGGAATACATTCTTATCCCCGAAGAAAATAAGCGGAACGTGTTGCCATATAAGGATGCTCTAGTAAACCTAGCAGAAACAAATGTCCCTTACAAAACAAAGAAGCGAATCCTTGTACAAGAGGGTGATGGTTTTATTCAAGACCTATTGGTACCTGCTGTTACAAGTCTAGGATTTCTAATGCTATAAAAGAGGTGACGCATCGCTAGGTTGATCATTCGAACCTAAGTCTGTCACGGGTACTCATCAAAAATGAAGAGAAAGATAGATTTGGTTGAAGAAGAACAACACGAGAGTGAACATGAAGAAAGCGAACGTTCTGGTGATGAAAGCGAGGATGAAGAACCAAGAATAAAAGAAGAACCGAGAATAAAAGATGTTTTGAGTCATCTTTCCCGAGCAGTGCCGGAAAAGCGTGCTTCTGATTTGCTGCACAGTATGGCTGCGTCCAAAGATATTCTTTTCTGGACCCCCAGCGGACAATTACTTCGAAATAAACGTACTATTCCCGTCACAAACATCGCTGAGCTAGTTGAGTATGTGTTACTCCCTTATAACAATGAGGTTACCAAACCTCGTGCGCTGAATACGTTTCTAGATGGACTTGCAGAGTTGGGAATCGATAAAGGTTTAATCAAGAACAAAAAGTTGTTAAGTGATTTAATAGAAAAGGAAAAAGGCTACCAAAATGTAGAAAATACTTCTGATAACGAGAGTAATAATGAGGAGAGTTCATCGGATATTGAAAATCAGGAGGAGGAAATGGCTTCTGAGAATGGCGTTGAAGCGGAAGACACCCAAGAGAGCGACAACGACACTGAAAACGACAGTCAGGAGATAGAAAGTAGTAACGCTGAAACGTCCACCACCTTTCACTCTAAACGTCCCTGTGAACACTGCGAGAACTCTAATGTGTACGGGACATTGATCATGAAATGTCCTAAATGCCTTTGGCACGATTACTACACGATTTGTCCTATATGCGATCACCAGATCCCCGAGGAGAGAAAATACATGAAAGAGGGCTTTCTTCGATGTCACGATTGCGGAGCAATTACACACAAAAACGCGAAGACGTTGGAAACCAATTTCTATTCCCCTTCTACAGAGGAGAACGAAGATGAAGATTAATTAATTTCCATTCCTGTATATTTGACTCTTTTTGTTTTTAATAAAGTTTTTTAATACGGTATCTCTCTTGTGTTTTTATTGCTAGCAATTATGAGTCGCGTGTTTAATCAATTGATCCTTGTTAAGTTATTTGTTTTATAATAATACGTCAATATGGTCCCTTGAGGTTTTTCCTGTAGAGCTAATTTGTATTCAACTTTGGGCTTGTGAACTCGCATAATTACCTAACTAATGACGCGTGAAACGTTGAGACTTCAATAGTTTTTCATTTCCTCGAGATAGAAAGGAGAAAACAGTTCTGTAATAGTCAGACAAACTTGAAATAAAGCGTTTTCAGCTCCCCTTTGTGTATGTCTTGTTTATATATATCCGAGTTTTAGCGCTAAATAAGAAATAGGAAGCTGTTTCTGGCGTTGCTCGGTGATCGCTCTTATTTTCCTTTTAATTAAGTTACTTACCGGGCAAGTCTAGGCAAGCCTATTGTTCCTATTGTAGTAGAGAAACACTCATTAGTAAACCTATACCGAATTAGTATGCAGGGCGACACTTAATTAGTATGCAGGAAATCCAAATTAGTATGCGGGAAGGCAGTGAGCAGGCTTTTATGCCGTTCAAACAATAAAAATACGGCAACCAACCAGAATGCTTCGTCAAACGAGACAGCCAATGAGCGTCTTTCTAATTCCGGTCAACCAATCAAAACAACTATGACATCATAGTACCCCGGAATATATATGACATCATCTTCCAAAAATAACTAACCTGTCAAACCGGTTATACCAACCATGACCGCCACAAAATAAAAATAGCACATGACCTTATCTTTATGAGATTCCTGCGCATTTTATTCATGAGATCCAGACAATAGCCTATGACGTCATCGGCGTTAATGTATTCCTCCCCACCTTAATGAGAATCCTCTCCAAAAAACCGGAGTAACCGGTCCCTCCTATACTACTCAAGTGTGCTGTTTCCGAAAGAAAAATCCTGAAAATGGGAAAAGATAATCTTGCACCTCAGCTTAAACGACTGAAGGCAGCAACTTATTGAAGGTTCGTATTTGTCATGTGATTACATTTGTCTTTGGTTTTAAGGGGTGTTGGTATTCAATACTCTTTTCTTTGAATGAGGCTAATTTAAACCTATGATGCGCCAATTCAAATGTTTGCCGGCGAAACATGTCACGTTCACGTTAAAGTAGACCACGCGGGTCACGTCGTCACATTAGTTATTTTTTCAAAAATATGTTCTTTTTTGGTTTCACGTACAACATAATTCTTCGTCGTTTGTACATGCTAAAAGAGAGTTACTAGGATAATCCGAGTGGCTGCACAGAACGTTCGATTGAGTTTAATTACCGAGTAGACTTGCTACAAGTCGACCTCTTGGCAAGCGGAGCGCGCCTTGTTTGGTCGCGAAGCGGCCGACCGCGCAGTTGGAGTAGTTTCATTGTGGGGACTTAAGGTTCATGATTTATTAGGAATTAAACGCACGAGCCGACTGTGGAATAAAGGAGATTAACGAAGAGTGCAGTAACTGGTTACTGTGGTGTACTCACAATACATATCGCGAAAGGGAAAGGATTATAAACACCGAGGTCCGTAATAGCAGCTATAAAGAAAGTTACCAAACTGCTTAAGGAACCGGCTAGAGATAAATTTCCATGTCAACTCAGACCTCATGTTAATTAACAGAAGGACAGTTGTCATCGTATTCCCTTCCATCCCTGCAAGGGGAATGGGAGGTGTAAAGAGGCTACATGATCCAACCCTTCACCCTGGAATTTGAAAGAAACATACCTTATTTGGGGAAGCATTGCAGGTGTCTCACAAACGTAGAGCATGTTTTCAGATTTAAGGTTGGGATCACCGTTGAGGAGCCTTCTAATAAACTCTAAAGCCACCACGGTTTTTCCAGTGCCAGCTACACCCTGAATCCATAGCTCTCTTTGTTTCTTGACGTCGTACAATTTGCTCAGCAGTTCAAACTGTTCCTTTGTCAGCAAGTTAAGAAATTTTAACCCCTGCTTGTTGGAAAGAAAAGAAGGAAACTGCGCCAAAACTATTACTAGTGACTGCAGGATTTTGTTGATCTTCACTAACTCTTGGGGCGATGAACGTAGATGATACTCTTTAGGATATCGACTGTCTGGAGACGATATATCAAGTGGCTCAGTTCCCACTCTGTTGCAAAGCACCACCTGGCAGGTGATGTAAAACTTTTCATAGCAACTGCCGTTCCTCACTAAGGATTTCTTCACAGCTTTGGCTGTAGCACGGGCATGCGGGAAGAACTGATCTTGTGATCCACTGCTGACAAGGGAGATAAGGTGGAGCCGTCCAAGCGACTCACTTAAGAGGAGTAAGTCACATACAACCCCATCTTCTTTACGTTTCCCTTCTTTTTGGACAGCAGACAGTATTGAGGAGGAAGCTACAAGAAGGCCGTTCGTGGTTTGTTCTTGTATTTTTCGTATCACTTGTTTTGCTTCTTCTGGGAGGTTTGATACAAACCCTTTAGGTACCACTGGACATCCGGGCCCAACTAAATAAAAAAATGACACAGATACAATCAAACCTTGTTAACCACGATACAATCTTACGCACAAATGCTGTTACCATGAGGAGACCTTAAGAGGGTACCTGCAAAAAATGACACTTCTTAAGTCACGATGGCGCAGATCTATTTGTAGAAATCACCATTTTCACCAACTGTGGTTTAGCATCAAACTAATTGCAACAGAATTTTTTTTCAACGCCATTTAATTGTTGGATGGCTATTTAACAACATACTAAAAATCTGCCAAAATCGGCTCGGTGAAACATGAGAAAAATTGGCAATAAAGATTTTCAACTTTCACCACAGGAACCCAATTTCAGGAAGATCACAAATTCAGACACTGGCATCTGATAATTGTGTGTTTTTTTCCCAAGAATTTTTGATACAACATTGCTAATGTATTTTAGGTAGTTTTGTTTTAAAAAACGCGGACTTAATGTGTTTGAAACACCTGGGTCAGTGTTTAGTCTTGAGGGCTTTGCACAGGTTACCCAGCCACTCGTCTGTCTACACATTCTGTTTTCCAAGCTTTAATTTTTTTTTTCTATGACGGTATTTTTAACGGAAATTATTAACAGGGTTAAAAATATTAGTAATTTTTTTCCCGCAATATCAGAAATGCAGTAAGTATTTGGGCAGTTTTACAGGCTGGTAATTTTTTATATCCTGCAGCATGGATTCAAATTTGTAGCTGACTGATGGTGAACAGTTTGATCTGATATTTTGTTCACCTTCAGCCAAGTACTAAATTTGCATCCATGCTGCAAGATACGTGCGACCAAATGTGTGCAACGGACGATAGCTTTGTATCAGTACAAACTGTTTAACCTATTCCCATTTTCTGTAATCGAGTTTTTTGAGGTAGTTATGTTCAAACCCTTGGACACAATATGTGTGATCGAAATCAGGCATTCTTTTTTTTCTCGCGACATGCACGACCTCCTTTAGGATTATGACTCCGTACTCTACAATGTGAGTGAATAAATCTTGTGTTAAGGACTCCGTCTATTTGGTTGTTGCTAGATCGTAAAGCTCTGCGCTTTTCATTACACCTGGCCGAATATGTTGTGAGGGAAATCCAGAAAACCAAGCGCAGTGTGATTGTTCTTTTTATATCTTCTTCTTGTAGCGAGTCTCAGATTTAGTTTTGTGTATTTGTGTGTTCAGTTTGTATTTTCTGCGGCAGCCCTTCATTTTTTGGTAAGATGAATAAGTATATTAATCGCTCTGTGGTCTGAAGGCGTTTCCATTCCCTCCTTGCATTTCTTTTAAGAGAACAACGCTGAGCCTTGACCAGTTTTTGTTCGTCCACTGCCAAATGAAGACCTCTTTTTATATAACGATCATGGGATCCTATATGTCTGAAAATAATTGCAGTGGTCAGTGAAGGCGCGAAAGTACTGGACAAAAGTACGACATTGCCTGACTTAGCTTCTGATGGGTCACCTCTTTTTGCGGAACCTATGTTTCTCTTCGGATGAGCGTTGTGTAGCACTTCAACTTACTGCATGTTAGCCTTGTGACTGACTTGGGTGAATTATGCTCTGCGTGGGGAATTCCCATTACTCCATAGACTCTTACAAGATATATTTAAATACGCATTGTTTTGGCTGCCCAGAGTTAATATTTTCCTTAAAAACCCGCTTCCCTATTATACTGTTTCGTTTTCTTGAAACAAGCGTTTCCTGGAACCAAAGTTCTTATGCTATGTATGTTCCGTTAACCTTTATAATTTTTTTTGCGAAGGTATCAACACTTTTCCTTATATGAAAACGTACTTCCCTCTTATCAAATTAATAGGCAGTGGAGCTTAACCTGCTCAAAAACTCTGCATTGTTGCGCATCGTAAAGAATTAGTAAAACTATCCTCTTCTCCTCTCCAATTCACTTCTAACAGGAAGAAAACGAAAAGCTTCAAAAAAAGTGAAACATATACTTGAGGATGTCGGTACGTTAACGAAAACTAATGTAAAGGTAACCGTAAAAGCCAAAGCATTATCTTGCTGAATTTTTGAAAACGTACCGAATGAAAAGTGCAGTCTTTTGACCGAGAAAAAGACCAAAAGCCGAAAGCAAAATGAGCCCGAAAATCCTCCTAGCTAGAAAAGAACAAGGAATGGGAAAATAGAAAGAGCGAGGAGAAAGAGAGGAGGAGAAGTAAAAAAAGCAATGGCTGCACTCCTGGTTGTTATGTTGACTTCTTTGAAGATAGTTTTTGAAAGAAAAAAACTGTTTGAGGGTAGGGCTGTATTTTGGCTGTAACGTTATTCAAAAATCCAGCTCTGATATATATTCTTCTTACCCTTACGCCTAACAGAAATCTGATTAAGAAAGGATATATTTTAAAAGCTAATGATTAAGTAATTAACGGCTTTCATTTTTCAGATTTAAAGCCTTGCGACTAAATTTGCTGTAGTTTTACAGCCAACAGTTCACTCTATTACCCTGTAAGCTTCCTGTTATTTTGGGGCTCCAAGGGCGGAGAATGGGCTTCCTGTGCAAAAGCCAACGGTGTTTAATATTTATCCTTTTTGAAAAGAAGAAACACTTTGTTTTTATCACCGAAAACTAGGTAACAGTTGCTTTCTTCTTTCACTTTTCCATAAAAGTATCAAACACATTTTGTGCATGTTTTGTTTAAACTTATAATTTCAACAAACGTAGGTTCCCTGTGTTAAAAGCTCAAAATGTTTCACGCTTACTTTTGACATGTTCCACCGTACGGATTTTGGCGAAGTTTTAGTATGTTGCTAGATAGGCCATCCTTACTTAAATGGCGTTGAAAACAATTCTGTTGCAATTAGTTTGATGTTGAGCCTCAAAAATGCCTAGATTGACTGGACTATAGGTCATAATGCACCTTGTTTACCCTTTTTCAAATTTGCATAACCATTCTCTTCGATTTCTCTTGGGACGACTGTAATACCCAGGAGAAATTGGAAACAATAGTTATGCAAATTTGGAGGGCGGGGGGGAAACAAGATGCATTATGGTCTATGTGAAAATTGTGAATGAATGGAAAATGTAAAAAATGACAGCAACATATACCCTCTTCTTTTTCACTTACTCTTTTTTTTACAGACTTTCGCGGTTTTGTCAGGCGACTGAGTCCCATTCTCGCACGCACGCCCTCCATCACCCCTTCCCAACAAAAGCTCCAGCTAGCTACGGAAGCTACATACGTTCAATAAACTCACGTCAACAAGGACGGTTGATTTCAAAACAAAACACAATATCGCAATTAGCTGCGGTGCAACGCAAGTTGTTTAACAGTAATACGAGTGTGTTATTTTTCCGTCATTTCCCTTTGCAGTCACGCACCTCTCAATAACAGGAAAAATAACATACGCACACGGGATCCAGAGCCCAAAATGATCTGACTTTCTAGACACTGATTACAAAACAGCGGACTATTTACTTAATAATAATAACTTTATTTTATTTCTATATGTGTGGTGATAAAGGAATTCTGTTCATTGTGACGAACTGTACATTTGCTACTCAAGGAGAAGGTCCTGATGATTTGAGTAATTCTGAGAATATTACATGGAATATTATCTCTTGTTTAGCACTCGGTACTTAACCCTTAAATCGATTCATTACGTTATCTATTTATAAGTTATCATTTATAAGTTTTTGTATAGTTTTCTTCCTATGGGGTCGGGGGGCATGCTCCCCCGGAAATTTTGGGAAATGAATATGCGCTAAGATGCAATCTGGTGCATTTTGAGACACAATTTTGAGAAATGTTACAGTGTGTGCATTGACCTTGTTGCGTTTGGATGTTTTTACCGATATAGTTACTTATTTACTGTAATGATAACAATATTTTTGGGTGGGAAGCTGGGCATTTTTTTTGGGGGGGGGGGAGCTTCTACCCTACAAATACCCTAGATAGAACCCTGAGTATGATATTATCAAAACATGCTACAACTTTCTTTACAGAAAATAAGGGCTTTTGTAACTGAAATTTACAATACAACGCAAACGAAGGAGGTCGTAGTATTTAAAACAATGCAATGAATGATAGTCATACCAAACAAGGCCCGTAGATAGTTTTAAACCTAACTTAGTTAATTATTTTTAATATTCCATTGTATTAGTTTTATTCAGTTTTTATATTATTGCATAATTTCGTTTTTTAAACAGTTGGTGTGATGTCGCGATTTTTACCGACTTAATAAAGTGTAGATGTAGATGTTTCCTAACCTTGCCTAGTTTCAGCTTTCGATGTACAATAATTCATTACATTGTATATTGGATGGGTGTTGACAATCAGAAAGCTGTGACTGATGTTTGATGATACATAGAGAAAAAGGTTAAACTATGAGTTACATAGTTTCTGATCCAGCCTGCAAAAACCAAGAAACAACCTCAAGCAAGGTAACGGTCAAGAAGCTCCCTACGAAACAATTTACAGCTTTAAAAATTCAACACTAGCCTGGTATGCATAAAAAAAGATTATGTATAATTAAACAGTGTATGTCATTACTTGGGGAAGAGGTAAGGACGATCTACTAACAGTTTATTGAAAAATACCTGGAAAGAACTCTTCCACGATCTCTTCAACAGAACCTTGGACAGTCCGCAAAGGTCCATCTAAAAGTTCTACCAATCGAAATTTTTCCATTGCTTCCCTGGTACCTTAGAAAAAAAAGTTCATTTCAGTCAGTTTTCAAGCCCTTAACATAGCAGTTTTAAGTTAAGGCTTTGAAAACATTACAGTAAAACCCCACGACAAAGAACCTGGATTTTTCCAAGTTACATGTAGCCTAAACAGGTTCTTATGTAAATGGTAGTTAGCACACGTTTAAGCTATTTAGGCTCTTAAATAGGTTCTTTTTTTCTGAAGAAAAACAATATAGCTAAGAGCATTCAGTGGTTCAGCTTATTCCTCATATAAAATCTGCATACCAAATTTGAGGATAGGTAAAAATAACCAAAAAAGAAAAGCTAAAGCATTGAGCTCAAAGACCGCGTTGGTGTTTAAATTGCAGTTGGAGTGATAAGGCACTTATGTCTCCAAAGATGATTCTGAATGCTGACTTATCTCAGTAATAACCACCCAAGTGTACAGGATTTTTTCAAAGAATTTTTGAAAAGAAAAATCTGTTTCAAATTTTAGGCTAAACAGGTTCTTATTACAGAGGGGGTTATAAAACTGGAATATTTTAGCCTAACAGGTTCTTAGTTGTGAGGTTTTACTGCATTCCTGACCACCCTACAACCTTGGAAAAACAGTTTTACCCACCCATAGGGCACCCATTCTGCAGATTTGTTACCGCCATGACCCCTTGCCCCACCCCACTATGATTAATGTTGTTCAGTCAAGGGCAGAAATGATCCAGCCAGAGTTCAACTTTGGGTGTTCTTTTCTTTTGCCAGTATTTTAAAAAGTTTTATTTTGAAAACTGACATGGCAACGGCCATTATTCTAGCTTTTTAAACACGTACCAATGTATCAAAATGTACCAATGTACCAAATAATACATATATGCCAGAAATAAGAACAGATCAAGATCTTCAATCCAACTTCAAATACTCGATTAACAATTAGAGATGAAGGACTTTGCTAAAAATTTGGGTATAATGATTGACTCGGATCTTTTACGGAAGAATCAAATTGAGTTTACCCATCACGTATTTGATTTAAATTATGTGGCTTCCTGTTTGAGGGACCAGAAACTAGTGCAGGACGAGCGATTTGACAGTCATTTGACAGGTTTTAGAAAATGAAAGTTTTAATTGGCTCACAGAAACAATAGCACACATTATGAAGGCTTTCCATTGAAAGCAAAATTAGGATGCAAATGTACCATGTTGAAAAAATTTAGTCAGTCAATTCGCTCGCTAATGTGACCCTGGAGTCTTTCAAAAACTGGACATTGTGACTGGCTTGAAGTCGCTTCCATCTTTCTTTCGTTGGTCTTTGCAAAAAACACTGCAAATGGCCAAGGAGCTTGTTCAGATGATCAGGTGCAAGTATGTTTGCTAATATTTGTTGAAGGAATCACTTGTTTTCTCTTATCTCCAATCTCTCTCAGTCGATTTTTGTCTTCTTAACTGTGTACTGTGATTAAAATTTTCAAACACTGACTAGAATCCTCTTCTTCGATAAGATTGAGTTTCTTCCTCACCTTTATTGATATATCTCAGGCCAAAATGTTGATAGTCAGGTCTCTTAGTGCAAAATATAGGCCAGATCGTTACAGACGTGACAAAAGTGTCAAATTTGGCACAGAGCTTCCTTAGCACCTGCCGATTAATACTGGCGGGGGTACTCGTTACAAATGGTCCTAATTACAGGTAAAAGGGGGGTTAACTTTCACCTATAATAGCAGGTTGGGTTCCCTGTGGTGAGTACTCTTCTTGTTTGATTTGGCTAAAAAACATTTGTTTCAAATTTTTAAGTTTTTAATTTGGTAATGTTTAGTTGTTGTTGCACTATTCAAAACAGTTTTACATGTACATAATACTGAGTAGTGCCCAGTCTCCACACGGTAAGTGTGGTCATGTTCACTGTACGGCTATCAGTGTCACTGCTAAGACTTGCCAGTGATAAAATCATTACATATCAATTTAAACAGATCACAAAGCCAGCTTTCAAAGATGTCATACAATAACAAAAAACCCAAATGTGTCACATCCTAAACGATAGAATCGTTAGATTTTGACATGCCACATGACCGACCTCATGAACCGTAACTGACAACGCGCCCACGTTGTAATTGTGCAGCTACGATTAGATTGTGAAAGGTTTGAACCCAGGAGTCATTTCAAAAGGTTGAGTTTGATCGTCCGGGTGAACGTAGTCTCAAATAGGACTGTTGTTGTTGACAGTCACTGTCAACAACAACAGTCCTATTCGAGACTACGTTCACCCGGACGATCAAACTCAACCTTTTTAAGATTAGATTATAATTTGTTTCGTTGGTAACCCTGCCCTTGAGATAATGATTAAAACATGTCAACCTCGTCCTCAGGGGGAAAAGGAGAAGCAAGGGTGGCACAGTTGGTTAGTGCGCAGCCTTCAGTACGCGAGGTCCCGAGTTCGATCCCCGGTGTCAACACATCCTTATTTCAGCTTCTCTCCTTTCTGTGTAGCTTTGACTAGCTTTAAATATCCTTAAAAAGAAGCATTAATGGAGAGGGGGGGGGGGGGGGGGGGTAAAAGGAGCGCACCGTCGACCTCAAGTTTATCAGTTATTATTACTGTCACGAGTTGTTGACGTAAAATATGGTCGCTTTACCTTTTTCTACCTTTTTATTAAGCCCTGGGGGCGAGGTTGTAAAACATGCCTCTCCAGGAATTTTTAACACTGTTTATGTTTTACACATTTGCATTTAAAAAGAAGTGTATGAGGTCCCTGCATGCCTAGACACCTGTAAGGAGCTCATTCACTTCAGAGCCCTCGCACCAGAGTGTTAATGGTAGGTCTATACGATCTTTCAAAAAAAAAGGAAGGTCGTCGCTTGCGTTACAGTTTACAAACAAGCTAACTTCAGAAGAGCTGAAAGTTACAGGAACAAGGCCTCTTTTAGCCAACCAAGGATGTATCATTTATGAAAATGAATGTAATTCGTTTGATGCAATTAGGAGAATACCCCGTGGTTACGGAATCTTACGATCATGAATTCCTCAAGAGCAATTCAGTTACCACCTTTCCCCAAATAATGCTGGGGAAAATTACAGAAAATACCAAAAAATGCAAGGATCAACAATAATTATGGCCTGGTCCCTTATAATAATGGAGTGGTCATGACAAAAAGAAGCCCATCAGCCCCAACTTTGACCACTCAAACAGATTTCGGACAGATTACATACCGCAAAACTTTGCATTCACTTATGCCTATGTTGCCACACTAGGAGCCTAGAAATCGGCTCCTGGTCACACCTTATTTTTATTGCTGAATATCATTCTAAAGAGCTTTACGAAATGTTTTGTTAGTAGGGGTGTTTTGAACATGATTGAGATTTAGAGATGGTGACAAAAACGAACACAAAAAAAGTTACAAAACGAGACGCATGAAGCAGCCGCAATCTAATATTCGTGTTACACGGATTTAATGGCTCCTTTGGCTGCTATACTGACGTTTATAAAGATGGAAGTAGTATCACAGCTAGTCCCGGGTTAGGTATACTGTTTATTACCAGTTTCACAGTTCTTGAGACTTAAAGGCTGTTTACATAAAGGTTGGGGACCCCGGGTAGGTGAGGTAACCTGCTTAGGTGGGGTAAAAAAAATAACCCTCCTTTACATGCAATCTTACAACCCCGCCATCCTGGGGTGCACTTTCTCAAGATTATTGAATGGTCGCTAAGCACGTAAACAAGAAAAATGCTAGCAAACCACGTCTACGCTCACTTGCTACTCTTGCTGCAACCTTCAGTGTTGTGGCTTTCTATCGTTACCTTTAATAACTATCTGAAGCCACCCGCGCCAAAGTGAATTTTGCGTGAATTTGATGTATCACGAATCCGACTCCGACTAGCCTGGGTTACCTCACCTTGAAACGTTGGCATGGCAAAATTTGACCTCAGCTGAGAGGGTTACCCGGTGTGGCAGACCGGGCTAACCACCTTGAAGGGTCACCCCACCTTTCATGTAAACGTGATCAAATTAAAATGAGAGATTATATGGACATGTGGGTTAATACCCCACCTAAGTTAGTTACCATGACTACCTGGGGTCCCCCTCCTCCATGTAAACCTAACTTAACTTACTTTATTAATACATATCACACACTGGAAGAAAAAATACACAAGAACAGCCAAAGCCGGGGGCTTAAATGGCCTAAGGTCAGCAAAAAAAAGACGTGAGGAATTTACAGGAATAGAAGAAGGCTAGAACTAAAATAATTACAATACAATTAAATCAAGAATGAAAAGGTCAGTCAGAAAAAAACTTACCGTATTTATTCGATTAACCGCCCTGGGCGCTTATTAAATTTTTGGACCTTGAGAGTGGGCGCTTATTCGAGGCTGGGCGCTTATTAAATTTTCACCATTTTCAGCAAATGAAGTAGGTTTATTTTGCAACAAAACAATAAATGCTAATAACAAAACGCGAAGAAGTAACAAAGCAAGGTTTCTGTAAAATACTCTGAAGAAAACTCCGTCCTCGGGGAAGTCTCTTATTGGAACTTATTCACTTAAGTGGGTGGGTTGGGGGTGAGCGCTTATTTGAGTCTGATTGGGAGCAGGAGGGGTGGGCGCTTATTCGAGGCTGGGCGCTTGTTAACTTTTTCTGCCTTTAGGATGGGCGCTTATTCGAGGTGGGCGTTAATTCGAGGTTGGGCGCTTATTCGAATAAATACGGTACAACTGAAATACAAGGCACTAAAAAGTTAGTCCGGGCCCCTTTCTACAGTTTCAGCAGTTAAACCATTCACCATTTATCATTTGAGTCAATCTTGTACCACTTGAGTATTTCTTTTAAGACTTGATAAGCTGTTAATATTTTGGACATGAGTGCTTCAGTGCCAAATGTAGAGGCTTCATGATGAACCGTGCTGTTTTGTGAAGCTTGGGCTAACTTGTTTCTTTTTTTCGTTTATGAGACCAGATTTTTTTTTGGTTAGTTTTTGCTTTGTAAAGCTTAGACAAACTGTGGGAATTGTAAATGATATGTACTTGTGCCACGATGCTTTCTTCGCTGTCAAAACATGCACGTGCGTCCAGCAGATAAAGAGAGACTGAAAGGCATCCAGGCCTATGTTTAGCTGAAAAATTAATTACCTCCTTAGGAAAGAACTATTCTGGGTTCTGTTATTTCGTTATTTGCTCTTCATGAACAGCTGTCATAAATCCCTGATAATATGTGATACAACAGACTCTTTGACAATTTCTTTTTTTCCTGAAATTTTGTGTGAATCGCTATGCCTGACGCTTTCTTTAGCTTAAAGTGACATGTAATGCCAAGTAATACTTGGTAAATAAGGCTTAAGCCACACAATAGGGCCTCCTCTCATTGAAATACATTAGAAAAGGAGAAGAGAACCCCAGACGCTGAGTACTTGCAAGTTTATATGAAGCAAAGACGAGGCCATCTTAGAAATGACTTATGAAAATGTGGGTGGACTGTGGACTTGCTGTAAGGGCACAGTAATAATCAACTTAATTATACAATCAATAAGCTAATAATGGATGGGAATGCCAGATGTTCAAGTGAAATTGTTTACAACATGAGAAGAGTATTCTGAGTGATTTAAGGTATTAAATAACAATTTTCAATCAAAACACCACAGGGACCCCAGCATGTAAAATTTACAATAATTAAATCCTGTTTAGCACGCTTCAGTGGCATATTTGCATAGGGCACCCCCTGTAACATTCATGGTACTGCAATAAGATATCGCTGTGCAAAGTTTGGTGCTTTTGTCAACTCTGTAACGATCCTGACCTTACGAGACCTGACTATAAAGGACAAAGTCAACATCGAAGTCCTCATGGTTGACAGACATCTTATAACTTTGTTTAAACCTTGTTTTTGAGATTTTGGTCCACATAGCTACGGACCGCAAATTGACCAATTGTAAGGCGAAAACAGACAGCCACATAATAAGCTACTATGGCAAAATAATGACAGGACTTTCAGTGCTTACTTCTGCTTGTAATAATTATTGTGTTACTTTCCTTTTTGTAACAGTGTTATCACCTTTGATTAGCTTAGTAGCTATGTGCAAGGCATTTAATTTTGTATAACTTTGATTTTTCTTAAGAAATAAAATGCTGATGTTGCTATTAAGATCATACATGAATACTAATAGCATACATTGCTTTCTCAAACTCATTAATAATTCATACAGAAAATACAAAGGAAATCAATGTTTAATGAGTGTTTGGAAATCAGATGAAAACCTGCTCATTTTTGCACCTTTAAATTCTCAATCTAAAATCATTTTGTTTGGGAAGTAATAGCAAGCATTCGACACAATGTTTCACCAACAGATGAAACAACACAAAATTCGTCAAAAGTGATGAAACATTGCGTCTCATGCTTGATATACTGAGTCAACAACAATGTCAGACTCAACATGTTGGTTTGAAGAACTCTGGATTTTGTACTCAACAATTTCAAAAGATTATAAATGATTTGTTGCATGTTTGTCACTGTGGTTCTTTATCAAATAAAGATGCAAAATAATGTAATGCCAAGTTTAGTCACGACATTCCTTGGCTGCAGGCTCACATAGAACTTTCATAATTCATAAAGAAAATACAAAGGAAATTAATGTTTAATGAGTGTTTGGAAATCAGATGAAAAACTGCTCATTTTTGCATCCTTAATTTCTCTTTCTGCAATCGTTTTGTTTGTGAAGTAATATCAGGCATTCAACACAGTGTTTCATCACCACATGAAACATCTCAAAGGTTCGTCAAAAATACTCTGATGTGTGTCGTGTTTTCAACTCTCTTTTCAGTGTTTCATCTGGTGATGAGACATGCGTCTCATGCTTGATATATTACTTGACAATCACCAAGACATTAAGAAATAGCATGTCTAGGGTAAGCTAATCAGTGATGGCCCTCTGATAAATGACGCACTCACCTTTACTTTGACCTAGGCATGTGCTACGCAGCATTCTCTGCTTCCACTCATGGAAATCAAGGGGTACAATCTCTTCCTCTCCATCAGATCCTGAAGGATTCAGCAGCTCAAAGCTTTTTGGGCATTTTGTGAAAATGCCACCCAAGTTCCTCATGCCAGCAATACGAACCACTATCACAAAACTTGATTTGGTGCCATCAACAGGAGAGAACTCTATATCCCAGTGTTCACCCTGAATTGGGATAAAGCTCCATGTTTCACTCATTTGGTTAATCATGGCTTGAAACCCACTCTCCCATTCTGCTTTGCCATCCGCTGTAATCTCTTGTCCAAGAGTTTCTCCTGTTTTATCCTCAATACCAATAAGAATCATCCCTCCACTTCCATTTCCGAAGGAGGAGATTTGTTCTGCGATTTTGTCTTGAGCCCTTTGGTTATTGGAGTGAAATAGTCCATTCTTTGATGTGAAATATTTCAGTTGCACTTGTTTTGATTCATGGAAATCTAGTACTTTCTTGTATGTGAATTGTTTGGGTAACAAACAATAGGAAGGTCTGTTAAAGGAACCTTAGGGATATGGTTTTTAAGAGATTCTCTCCTGGATAATAAATCAACAACTTTTTCATAAGTCGGACGTGACAAAGATGCTGCATCAAAGGGCAAATGCATATTGTAATCCACAGTACATAAATGGTTTGTTGCTTTGATGAAAAGAGTAATTGTGTCTCCTTGAAGTTTTTTATCAAAGACATCATCATATGTTGATGGCTGGATCATTGGATTCAGTTTTTGCTCTAATGTTTGCCAAAATATATCAATTCTCTTCTTGAGGTCTCCTTTTTTATACCTTGAAAAGTCATCAATTTTCATCTGCACAATGCCACCCCCTGAGTTGAGAACTGCATTAATTGGCCTCAGAGCAGCATCTGCATCTTTCTTTTCCAGTGTTATTGTGCAGTGTAGCACATCCTCAACAAATTTTCTGAAGAAAAAAAATACCAGGTAGGCACACTTAACATTTTGAACTTGGTTGGGAATTCCCTGGTTGGGACTTGTCTCACTTTGCCAAATTTGGGATTTTTATGGGTTTTCTTTAAATACCTGATTATATCCAAAAATGGGAATCCGTTATTTTTTCCTGTGCATGTGCCTCTTGTATTGTCATTTGACCAAAGCAAATCAAGAAATTAACTCAGACAGATTGCTTGTCTCACACCTAGAAGGCCCTCTCCTGGGGGATGCAGACCAAAAGACTTCCTTGGGTAAACTGAACACAATACTGGTGTAGTAAAGTTAAACAGTTTAGTAAGTGTGACACTTTGTTTACCTAAATGTGACATTTTAGTTCTAAGTTGATAAACAGGTATTGTTATGAACCAGGAATACGATCCTTGTTATGTAAGCAAGCGTGCAAATACAGTGTACGTGTTTTGTGTGCAGCTAAATAATAGGACCTGTTTAACATAGAAATTGCACCCTTTTCTGATAGGATTTTGTGTAGGATGTGTTGCAGTTTTTTGGACCTGGCCGAACAGGATTTACGAAAGTAAATTGGCTGGAACAATAATCATGCTTTCATATCTTTAGGGTATTTAAAACCATAAAGGAAACCAAGTATATCCTCTCGTACAAGCTTATCTGATCACCTTGAATCGCTACCATCATGTACAGTATAATTATAAGCATATACGAGGAAAGCCTGACACGGTTCGTCTTGAGTCTTTGAGTCAGACATGATTCAGGGCAATGTCTAGAGCTTGTTTCTACAGCTGACTGAAAAAAATGTTGGTTAAAAAGTGTAACCCATGCATGAATGATTAGGCTTCAAGGATTGTTGTGAAACGTTAGAATGCTTATGATTGTATTTTCTTATTTCATTAAATTTTCAGTAGTTGATAAAGTAAGCCACTATCTCGCCACCGCTAAAACAGATGTTTAGATTGTAACAGGAAATATCATGGGATAAGATATATAGTTAGAATTAATCAATGTTGGTATTACTAGCTTAACCGCACATAAGGATTAGCACCATAATTGTCAAGTAAACCCACGCTTAATAGGAAATTAGTTGAAATTAGTGCCCACGAATCGATGTTAAACGTGAGCAAAGAACTTAGACCGCATTTGATTATTGTGACCATGCCGGAATTATGCATCTGGGTGTGGATTTCCTTAGCTAATATACGCAGCATTTTTGTAGAATTTAGTTAGATTGAAATTGATCGTAGAACGGAACGTGTAGTGTCGAATTGTGAAGAATAAAGTCAGATTCGTACGAAAGTATACAGTCCTCGATTGTTAAACCAGCGTGTGCGGAATCTCTCTCTATCGCAAGTGGGAAATTCTGCGAAAAGGATTTATGGGTGTACATTTATTAGCAAAGCAAATTCAATGTTGTTATTTAGAAACGCTTCCATTAACCTGGTCAGCACAAGCTCGTCGCGATCGGGCAGATAAAAAAATTCTGAGAGGACTTTGTTTTAGACACTTTCCAGAAAACTTTTAGGTCTCCTCTTATGATTTTCAAGTGTACACTGGTGATGTTGCTATGCTCTATGATTAGTTAGAGAGATCACTGAAGAAACATGTGCCCAAAGGTGAAGTTGCCAAGAAAACTGAAAACCCTTCGAACCTTGCTGAAATGCATCAGTGCAAGAAGCTCGTCATGATGTCAGCTTGCAAGAACTTGCATTTGCAATGCTAATAAACTTGGTGGGAAAAAATCCATTAGGTTTCAATGTTATGGCTTACTGTATTTACTTGAATAAGCGCCGCCCCCGAATAAGCTACGCCCTCGATTAAGTGCCGCATATGGAGTGGAAAAGTTAATACGCGCCGTCCTTGAATAAGCGCGGCAGCTTCGGTGCGGCCCTCGAATAACCGCCGCACTGGAGACACGAAAATAAAATAAGCGCCGCAGCGCTTATTCAAGTAAACACTTAACAAGCAACATTTCTTCATTCAGGTGTACATGTGTATACAGTACCGTTCAAAAGTAAGTTGACAGTCCTTTGAGAGTCTCGATTCTCGACTTGGTTCATGATTCATTGAACAAGCTATCGAGAATCGAGTCGAGGATCAAATCTCACAGGACGGAAAACAAAAGATTCGCCCATGACTGATTTCTCGATAATTTTACAATGACCGGTACAGCTGTAACACAACACGGCATGGTTATATTTGTGCAAGCGACTGTATGCATGAAACAAGACCAAGTCAAGTTATAAACCAAATGTTTCTTCAACACCTGTATCAAGCTTCATTTCCTTCAGTAAAGTTTCAAACGCCTGCTCCAAATGCAAACAAACAGTGCATACTCAAGCAACAGCACGTTTATTTTGTAACGTCAAACGATTCTGTGCTTACCCGGCCACTAGGCTTGATGACGATCAACTGTAACCCCATGCAGGGCTGTAAACATACACGTCCTTCAGTAACATGACTAATCTCTTGCTCTGAAATTGTGTTCATGATCCTTAAATACTGTCCAGAAACAAGGCGGAAAGTCATGGATTGCTTTTCAAGTTCAACTAGAGTGAGCTGGCAACTTTTGCTATTTAGATGATGCAAGACGCCGTTTGAACATTTTAAGGTTTTGACGCAAAGTATCACCTGAGCCGTGCGAACAAATGCAAATTTTCTGAAGAGTTGTCCCTGAGAGAGTTGTCAACTGCTATTGTTACTACTATTTGCATACTTCAGGAATTTCTCTCAAGAATCAAACCAGGTATGCTGAGTAGAGTTTTTTACTTCAATAGAGTACAAAGATTTTTCTGATGTGAGAGAAGTTAGAAGATTACTCAAAATGTGAACAAAGGTTGTTACTTGTAGATTCTCACAGCAATCGGGTATCAAGGGCCGACAGTGAATTACTCGAAAGTGAACTAAACAAAGGCTGTTCCAGTTTGATGAGTCTCGCAGGAATTGAGAATTGAGACTCAACAGTCGAGAATTGACTCGCGATTAAGATCGAGAATAGAGTGTCAACTTACTTTTGAACGGTACTGTACATGTACAAGTTGAGTTCTACTCTTAACTCCCCAGTACCATTAAGGGATGGACCATTAGAAAAGTTATGGGGGGAAGGGGAATTTTCAAGCCGCAGGAATTTTTTTTCATTATTACATTCCTTGTATGAATTTTTTTTTGCCCATAGCATGAATAATTTTAAGGGTTAATTGGTGTGCATGAATTTGATTTAATGCTGCAGTATTTTTCTATCTTCTTTGTGATTATGGTAATTCCCTTGTTTGGCATTGTGAACATCAAGACACCTATCCCGGTAATCAGGGTGAAGTTGCCTGAGGAATAATGGAAATAGGCACTTTTCCAGGTGTGATGGAGCTCCATGTTTTGAGAATTTGTGTTTGTTGGGGAGGGGAGGTGGAAGGGGGGATTCACAAAAGCCATATCAACAGTGGATTTTAAACTTGCATTAAGTGACTTCAATAAGTCAAAGTCCCACCTTGGTGTACCAGTAATTTGTGATTTTACAATAACTGAATCATTTCTCGCGCACTGATTGGCTAATTTTTATGATCAATAAGAGCACAGAGACAGCAAATATTAATTTATACAAGACGCAGTCATTTGCCGCATGAATGCCAAACTTCGATGTTTTTCTTTAGTTCAGTTTCGTAAAAGATTAACTTTCTGTCTACTAAGAAAAGATTAATAGCCAAATAGCTCTGATGCAAGACTTTTATCTGTTTCAATTCTTTACAAAAAGCTCAAGCAGAGGAAACTGAACAAAAACACTTAGTTTCCACAAGCGAAGACAACTTTCTAGAAATCGCACTGCTTCAAAACTGGGCCGGATTCAGATATAAGCTTTTAACATTTATACACAGTTTCAAAGTTAAAAACAATAAGAAAACCGTTCTGAAAGTGTAGTTTTTTCAGAAAAAAGACATTGATTATGGTAGTCTTCTTTTTACTGGAAAGGAAAACAAACTTTTTGCACAAACTTTTTAAGCACCTGGTAAGCTGAATGAAAGACTAAATGCATATAAAACCCACCTTTTGGTTTGATTGAACGCAGTTCAAATAGCTGAATGGCTTTATAATACTCTAAAATGCCTCCATTTTTTGAGAAAATAAACATTGCTGATTTGATTCTTGTTCTGAATAGAAGTTTGGAAAACAATATATTCCTAATTTACGCAGGGCAGTGGCATGACTCAACCTGTCAAATTTTTAACCAATGAAACTCCACTGTGTGTCTTCAGTAGCCAATCACTAAGCAGGGCTAAAAATTGGCAGTCGCACGGTCGCCAGTGGCGAGTTAAACCTGACCAGGGCCACCAAAAGTTAAGGTTTGATACAGAATTTTGAAAAGTTGCAATGTAAATAATAAATTATGCGAAGTACAAAGTTAAAAATAAAACTCAATATGTAGTTTAATTGGACTACCTTTCTCTTCATTTCTTTGCCTTGACTCTAACATAATCCATTTTAGTGAATTTTTAGTTCTCAAGTGGAAATTCCGAGCAGTTTTAACAGTGATTTCACGAGCGATCCACATTCACAACATATAGACGCCACTTTGATTTTGTGATTGCCACGTGACTCTGGACTTACCCAGAGTTCCGTGCGGGATGGTTTCAAAGCACACGTTTTCGCTTTCAAGAGAACAGACTTTACACCGACAATGATTTTTTTTGCAAATAAATTCTTGAAGTTACTTTAAAATTATTGCGGTTTACTTCATTTACTTGAATAAATAAAAACACTCAACACCTCTAATAATTTTATAGTGCCAAATGAATGGCTGAAATGTTAAAGAAAAATGTCTCATGGTATTACTGGGGGCATTGCCTTTTTGTGTTCTTTCCTTTGAGCTAATGCTCTGTTAAAAGAAATGGAACGTTTATTCAAGTTTTTCTGTTTAAACTAGAGGAAATCGAGGGCTACGTCATTTTGGGATGAGCCACTAAGAATTCAAGGAAACTGGGGTCCGTTTCTCGAAAGTCCCGATAATTAATGAGCCCGGTAAGCTGTCTCTGTTTACATTAAAGATCGAGGTTTCAATAGTTTTGCATCTAACATGATAAAACTGTCAGTTAATGAAACAAAATGGAGTAGTTTGCTTGCCAGGACCCGCGCTCTTATTCTTTATATTTCGATTTGAATATTTTATTTCCGGCCCGAAAAGTTACTGGGCCTTTCGAGAAACGGGCCCCTGGCCCGACTGGCCACCAAGCACTGGAGTTAATTTTTAGCCCTGACTAAGCGAAAAAAGTTATTGACAGTAACATTGCACTAGTTTAAAAATGTCATAAATTTTGTGTTCTCCTCATTTTTACTGGCAAATTTGGCTTTTTCGCACTTTTGTTATTGTAAAAAAACAAATCGATGTCAGTTTTTTATGTGTCTGTCCTCTTACTGATGATAAAATGACACAACAACTTTGTGTGGATCCCACAACACTTTGACAATGTTGTGACGTCATTTTATCATCAAAAAGATGACAGACACAAAAAACTGGTGTCAATATCATTTGTACAGAAAAATGCTAATGTTGGGAAGGGCTGGTTTCAACCCAAACAGAGTGGGATACAGCAATTATCTCATAAGTCTTATAATAATATTGTTTGCCTCCTAAACTAGTACACGGCTGTCAAAAAGTTTAAAAGTACATGTATCAGTCTAGCCGATAACGAATACAATGACTGTAGTAGGTGGCTTTGGAACTCACAGCCGGCTGGGGCATCTAGGGACATACCCTTAGAAAATTTTGAAATTTAGAATCTTCGAAAAGGCATTTCTAGAGGTTTTTAAGAGGTAATTTCCACCATGGACACTTTGTTGTTTTGTCAGAATAGATGCAAAACTGGGAACAATGCCACTGAAATGTCTCAGGCATTCCACGTCGCACCGTTCGAACGTTTCACAGATCCAAACCTGTACATTTTGTACTCTCACTATGGTCAAGAAAATGACATTTTTAAAAGGAAACTTACAAATGTATATAACTATTCATCATTCTTAGACCTTCATACATTTTTGAGATTGGCTTGAGCGCCCTAAGATTTAAGAGTTGTGCTCATCTGTGTTGAATTATTTATGCCATGTGCTCAGCCGATTTTTCTTGTGTGAACGGATCCGTGAGCCACATTTGTGTTAGGCGAATTGCTTGTAAGGACTAATTCATGGGTTTTCAAATAAAATTTTTCAAGAAATAATTTCTCTGTTTGTTGTGGTGTGTTCTTTCATTGATAACATTTGCTCTATACACAATCTTGAGACTGCAGCATCCAAGTTGCATTTAATGCTTCTCACATCACATGCATCACTTTTGCGAATGTTGGTGAATTTCATAGAATTTTTACTTTAAGGTTCAGTTTTTAGACACTTTTCGATATGCAGCTAATGAATTTTATTTGAAAGTTTGTTTTTCTGATTACATGTACACTGTATTCAAGATTTGCGCTCTAAGACTAGTTAGTATACTACACAGAGGGTCACTACAGTATTGTATTGAAAATTGGCACGGTCGTTTAAATGGGATAAGAGCTACAAACTCCAATAAGAATGATGAAGCAGAAATCAATCTTCACAGGACTATGGATAACATTCTGATGACTTTTCAAGGGCAGACTGCAAAAGTCAATCCCACAAATATTACAGATGATGAGAGACGACTGGGGACGAGTCAGTAATTTCCAGCTGTTTACAATTACATCAACAACAAAGCAACGCACACATGCACACTCTGTTTTCGTCTGAGTGTTTCCTGCGCGTTTGTCTCATACATGTCACCAAAGTGAATTGACCAAGAGGGAGAAGGAAAATGCTGTACAACGACTACAGCTGTAGGCAAAGCCTGAATATGGGTCGTCTTGAGTGTTCGCTGGGGTGATCAGAAAATCTCTCATAACTCGATAAAATATTTAAAAGACCAGATCAAGCAGATTGTAGTTTTAGTGTTAGGACATGAAAGTATTTCAGAGTACAGGAAATGAGCAAAATCTACTTTTTTAAGCCACATCGGCTGGACTGCTTTTGTGGATGCTATCTCTTAAATGCTAAGATAGCCTTTCCCCAAGCTAAGGGAGACCCTGAACATAAATACAGGTTTGACTTCATGTTATAAAATTATCCCTGGTCAGTGCATGTGCCAGTGGCTGAGTCTTATAAGGTCAATTAACCAAGTAAATCTACATATGTAGAATTCTGTTCAAGAGAACGCAAGCAGATTTGTTTGTGTCATGGCTGAATGGCCCTCTCCTAGGGGACGGAACTTAGGGTTGCCACGAAAACCAAGACCAAAACATTTCATTGGAAAAACACAATTATTACTGGTAAGCCCATCCCAGTAGTATGCTTTACTCATTAGAACCTAAAGGTCTTGAGTTACATACATTACTGCAGGTTTCAATCAAAGCATGCTTTTACCTGTTGGTGGCATTGCAGACATTAGGATCTTCTTTGGCACCCTGGGGAGGGGACTCATCAACATCCATTGGCTCTGTATCTTCCATTTAAAAAGACACCCAGTTTGGGATTAAGAATAACTCTGGAGAAGAAAGGTTTTGAAGATGTTTTGAGTTAGAAGGCAGATTCATAAAACCAGTCTAGGCCTACACTGACGACTGTAAGTACAGTGTATGTGCAAAGAAATGACATTACGTTAAACTGAGTTCCTTTTTGAGGTACACATAGGGTCCAGTTCCAAAAACAGAGAAAAGAAAAACTTTCCCCCCATGTGCTCGTCTGAGAAAAATTTTCTTGGAAACTACATTTAATGTAGTTTCCAAGTTGTTCAACTAAGTCTCTTTATAAGCACTTCTCCAGCTAAACCACTGAAATTTACTGTGTGCAAAATTAGGGTTGTCACGTATAACTCGACAGGGAGCAAGTGAAAATCATGAGTCTTGAGCCTACACATATTCCACTCTAAGTCTGACAACAACAGTTAATGTCTGTTGTCTGTAGTGACCAGTACCCTCAACAGACAGGTTAACATAAATGACTTGTACACTCCACACAGTTATTTGCAGTACGATGTAAATGTACATGTGTATGCCTGTGATAAATATTTAAAGTACCTGAGAATCATCTGAAGAATTATGGAGATCAAGGAGCCGGGTGTTATCCACTGAGACCGAAGGTTTCAGGATCTAAACAGATGCTTTTGTTTTGTTTTTGTTTTTTTTTTGCGTATAACACACTCCTAGATCTCCATAATTCTTTATATGATACCAAAGCCGAATTCAATAATAATTGTTTTATCATTCATTCAAAATTGCTAATTGCTAGTTTAAAAACTATGAAAATTAGAAACAGACATTGTTAAAAAAAGTCTTTTCACGGTCAAAATTTTCACTTTCTCTTACTACAATTGTCATGTTTTGTAAATCAATGATTCTTGTTATATAAATTCCTTGACTGTTGGCTTAAGCGGGGTTTCAAATTACAATACGCTATTTGACATGTAAACTTGGATGCATGTTACAGTACAGGCCATGGGCATTGCACACAATTTACGCGTGTGTAAGAGCTGCAATGCCTGTGGCCTGTTCTGTAGAACAACAATAATAATAATGATAATAATTCCATTATTTACCCTTGGCAGTATTTATAGCACTAATGCTAGTGGGGCCAAGCAAATGCCTGAAACTGAACTTAACAGGATTAAAAATCCCAACTGGCCGGAGGTAAACCAGTTGGCTATTTACAAGCATGGCCGAGGATTGGAACTCAGACTACTGTGACCTCTCACGCGATAACGTTCCGAACGCTAGCCGTTCGAACGCTGAACGGAACGGCAAGCAAACGGGCGACGAAAGGTTAGGCAAGCCGTTCGAAACGGGTACCGTAAATGGATGAACGGCTAATTAAGATTTTCGAACGGATGAGGTCGAACAGATAAACGGCTTCTTGAATTTTTCGAACGGATGAGGTTGAACGGATAAACGGCTAACAAAAATTATTCGAACAGATAAGGTCGAAAGGATGAACGGCAAATCAAAATTTCCGAACGGATAAGGTCGAAAGGATGACATAATAACAAGTCATGTAGTAACAGTCAACGCAAAGCCCACCAAATCGCTCAAATTCGCCATTTAGAGCCGCAGAAACGACAATACACAACAAACGAGGTAGGTTTACGTTGATTTTGAACTTTAACATAGACTTTACTCGATATAAGTTTACGATATTAAGATTCTTCAATATTCCCATACCTTTCTTTATATTTCGAACATACAAACGGACACGCCACTTCTGTGGGCGCCTTGTGTTTACATTATTATCAATCGAACGACTTTCGTACCAAATAATTTAATGGTTCACTTGTGACGAGAAATAAACCTCGAAACCTCAAATAAACTATCGCTGCATTGAAAATCAGTCTTCTTAGAGTCAAGGGAATTTCTTTACTGAGAATAACATCTCTCGTCTGCCTCGCTCATTTCCTTAATTAACATAATGTCACGCAAACGTTTCGACAATGATTTAAAGCAATGATTTTAATACATTTCGCCGCCAGAATGCTTTCGCTGAGTAGACGACGCTTCTCCTTGTCTTATCTTTCCTCTTCGATATCTCAGTGCGAACGAAATAATGAATAAACAAGCGAGCGCGTGCCAATTTGTCGGCTGCGTGATTTGCATAATTTTGACACGGTAGGAACAAGACATAACTTCAATTCTACAACCGTATTGACACAATCTGTGAAAAGATCACTTGAAACGAGTCACATACACTTCGGCACTGTTGTTTAAAAAATTAATTCCACAAACAGTACGTCTGCGCCGCCTGTGAAAACACAAGCTAAACGAAGCGCATGGTGAAACGAAGAGCCCAAAGCGCCGTAGTGTCACATTTATCTTGTGAGCAATGTTTATCTTGAAATTAATCTCTCTCGCAAGGCAGAAGTGCGTGGCTTCTTAAGCCGCCACGAACACGTAAGGACCGTAAGGTTTTCAATTTAATAGGAGCTTGTGAATCAAACGTTTTTCCGTAAAAAATGAAGTGAGTATCATTTAAGCGGAGGTAAACAAAGAACAGAAGCGTGACGACTGTTTGTGTAATGTAAACATGACGGCATGCATCATTTAACAAAGAATGGCGAATTTATTGTTTTGAAGACGTCAAAATAACTTACTGTTTCTTTCTTGAACGGATAGCTTGAGCCGTTCGAACGGCTGATGAATTTTCTCGAACGGATAGCTCTAGCCGTTCAAATGGCTGATGAATTTTCTCGAACGAATAGCTCGAGCCGTTCGAACGGCTGATGAGTTTTGTCGAACGCATAGCTCGAACCGTTCGAACGGATGATGAATTTTTTAGAACGGTTAGCTCGAGGCGTTCGAACGGCATGCCAGTCCGTTCGAACGGCTGATGAACGGCTAGTGAACGGCTATCCGTGTAAAAACGGCTAAGCGTTCGGAACGTTTTTGCCTGAGAAAAAACAAATCCAGCTACAGTAGTGGTCAGAGCGGCACTTGAACTCGGGGGCCTCCGAACAGCATGTCCAGTGCTCTAACCACAGCCATGGCCAGCTGCCTCCTACAATGGGATGCAGCTGAACTGTAAAATGGAATCTACGGCCAAGATTTAAAAAAAAATGCTATTTACCTTCGCTAAATTATCACAATTAACATACCAGTTAAAATTTCAGCTAAACTCTACGAAAATCTTCAACACAACATAAAATACCGCAATTGCGCGAATGAAGCTCTGAAAGCAGCCAAATTAACTTGGAAATTAATTCATAAGTAACCAATGTTACCACAGTAAACTAAACCCACGTTAAAATTTACCACGGCTTCGTTAACGAGGGAAATGCTTTTTTTACTGTGGAGTGTGTAACCGCACTTAATTTATTCCAGTTCTTCCCAAGCGATGAGATGATGCAATCGAGGTCTCACGCGACGAAATTGGCGACGAAATTTAGTTGGAGAAGAATTATTGCATAAGCTTAATTTTTGGGGTTTTAATGATCAATAAATTAAACTCTTGCAGCTTGTGAACTCATCTCGAACGAAATATGCATGATCAGCAGGTTTCATTTTCGTGGTCTATTCACGGCTGTATTGAGAGAGATTTCCTGCGAATTCGTTTCCCCAAGAACAGTCAAAAAACACTTAGCCAGTAATAAGGGTAAAAAAAGACAATTCTCACCTTTCACGATTGGATTTTGAGTTCAGCAGATAGTGACAACAGCTAGATAAAGAGGGCTCGAACTTCTTCACTCTCGAAACGGGCGCCCGGCTTTTGATCAGCACGTCATGTATGTGTAGTAAGTATGACCACACCAGTATACCTCTCCCCAGTCTCCACCTCACCTGTCAACTGCACCATCCTCCGGTGCACATCCTCCACCTTCCTCCACCTTCCTTTTAAATGGTCAGTTTATCGATTAGTTAAAAATTTGAAACTCGCCCCAGTTCCCTACGCAACTCCGAAATGGCCACATACATGTACATCAAACTTGGGACAACCTCGTCCCCAGGGCGCTTTTCCCTGGGCTAGGAGGTGGGCCTCCTAGCCCAGGGAAAAGCGCCCTGGGGACGAGGTTGAACTTGGGAAGTATTATAGAAACTTTTGTTCTTGAGCCACCGTAGTTCGATCATAAATAAAACACAAACAGAGGTGATAAACATTGTGAGTTTTCCCATCTTTATAAATACTATTCAACATACATTTTCAAAAGTGATCTCAAAGAAAATGACGAGACTATAAATTCAAAAATTACAAGATACAAGATACACAGAAAAATCAGGACCACTGTTCAAGTCCCTGAAAATACTAAACATCTTCGAGTTAACTGCATATCTAACAGCTGTATTTGTATACTCACATCATCATGACCAGCTACCAGCAATCTTAGATAACCTTTTCAAAACTAATAAAAGTGTACTGTGTACATTCCTACAATACGCGATCAGCAGCGAACATACATATTGAATTTAGAAAAACAAATTATGGCAAATATTCTATAAGTTTTAAGGGAGCAATTATATGAAACGACCTTCCCTCAAATATAAGAAACATAAGTTCGTATAATATGTTTAAGAAAAAAGTCAAAGAGCATGTGATTAAGAAATAATAATGACTGTGTGTAACGTAATAGTTTTATTTCATATCAGTTCGTAAAACAGGAAGTCGGCCTTCTTTATTCTTTACGTCTGCTTAGAATAAAGCGAAGATCGTCTAAAAGCTCTACAGAGATTGCTTGATCTCCTGCCTTGTAAGTAATGTAATAGGTTAAGTGAGTACAAATGAATGTATGTTAAATAAAGGCACCTCTTGAGTTCTCATAAAAGAAAATGACGAGACTATATATTCAAAACATCAACAGTGAAAAGCTGATGCTTTATTGACTGCTGCCTTTTGTATTCATGGCTGTTAAGAATTTTTAAATTCTTAATCTCATTTCCAGACCCCTTGTAATTTTTGAATATATAGTCTCGTCATTTTCTTTAACGGTCACTTAAGATCACTTTTAAAAATGTATCTCTCTTGATGTTAAATA